CCGAAATTTGCCCAGGCTTGTCTTGAGAAACTTCTGGAAAGCTGGCCCAGGTTTCTGACATGATAAGTTGATTGACCGCATGTTTGGCTGTAATACGACGCGCGCGAGCGAGCAACAGCTCGAACTCTCACCTCCTGGACAGACTACGCGAAACGAGGAGGTGCGAAGAAGGTGCGGAAAAGTTGGGACCCCCCCGCGTGCACAGAGTACTTGTCTTGCAGGCGTCGGCAAGGTAGTTCTTCTTCTCCTCCTCGTCCTCCTCTTTTTCTTTCTCCTCTCCCTCCTCCTTTCTGACGTAAGGCGAAATCAGATCGACTGGTCATCGTAGAGTCGGCCTGGCATTGAAACCAACGTGGGCTCTGTGGCCAAGACATTGAGCTGCAAGCAAATGCCGGCAAGCATATGCGCAGAGAGAAGCGCGGAAGGACGAGGTGCCCGCAAGGGCGTAGAGCAACTGAGCAAGCAGCCCGTGAAGGGGCTAGGGGGGTACACAACCACAGCCACAACCACAGCCCCAGGAGGCACAGCACACAACACCAGATGATCCATGAACCATGCACACAGCACTCCAGAGGACTTCTCAGCCGTGCACGGCCGCAGGGGGGCCCTGGTCTCTCGCAGGGGAAGACCGTGACCCGGAAGGGTGGCGCAGGAAGGACCGGCGACCCACTGCCGACCGAAGGGTTGCGGGGCCCATGGCCTCGGCGCCTCCGCGCCCCACGCCTGTCGCAGGAACCAGCGGGGCGTGGCTGCCTCCTTTCTCCGCCCCTGTTACGTTGGCCAGACATGAGAATCGAGGCTGCTGCATTTCTCAACACCACGAGCTCCTGTAGGGACGGGAGCAGCAGAAGAAGATCCCAAGAAGGACGAGTGCGAGAACCTTTCTCCGCCTCCTCCCCCTCCCCGAGGAGGGGAGCCACCAGACTCGCCGCCGTGGCCGCTTGTCGCCGTCGTTGGCCTCCCGGGGCCGCCCCCGGCCCCAGCCCCAGCAGAGCGCCCGTGTAGAAGCGAAGGCAAAGGGGCAGGTCGAGGAGTAGGAGGTCGGCCAACTTAGGCAGGTCAAGCGAGTCAGAGTGCCCCTCCCGTCCCCCTCCCCAACATAATAATCAAGTGTGGCACAGCTTGATTTAGGGATTGGAGTGCGCTCCCACCTCGCAAACGGAACCGCGCTGACGCAACACTGCCACTGTCAGGCACAAATGTCGCGGCGCTTGGGGCGAAGAGTGGGGAGGAACCTCCTCGTCGTCCTCGTGCTCGTTTGCACCCTCGCCGTCGTCCTCGCCCTCGCCCTCCTCCTCGTCATCATCGGCTTCATCCTCGTCACCGTCCTCGTCCTCCTCTGCCTCGTCATCCTCGGCCTCTCCCTCGCCGCCCTCGCCCTCTTTGTGGATATCGTCCTCCTCCTCCTCCTCCTCCTCCTGTTTCCTGGTCCCTGACGGCTGCAGGGATCCTCGATCGCAGTCTCCGCCTCCTCCTCCTCCTCCTCGTCCTCGTTCCCCCCTGCCTCGTCTCTGTCACTGTCCTGGCCCCCCGCCGTGGTCCCCGTCGTCCCCGCCGCCGCTGCCCTCCTGCCGGGCGTGGCGCGGCGGGGCCTGGCCGAGGCCCCCTCTGCCCTGGACATGCGGCGCCCTGCTTTACCCGCTCCGGCACGGAGCCCCGAGAGTTCCCGACCCTTCGTCGTTTCTCCTCCTCTTCCTCCTCCTTCTCCTCCTCCTCGTCCTCCTCCTCCTCTTCCTCCGCCTCCGTCCCACCCACCCCTCCTCCTCCTCGTCCTTCTCCTCCTGCGCCTCTCCTCGCTCCTCGTCCTCGTCCTCGCTCCTCCTCCTCCTCCTCCTCCTCCTTCTCCTCGTCCTCGTCCTCGCTCCTCCTCCTCCTCCTCCACTTCCTCCGCCTCCTCCGCCTCCTCCTCCTCCTCCTCGTCCTCCGCCTCCGCCTCCGCTTCCCTCTTCTTGCCCCCTCCTCGCCCTCGTTATCCTCCCCTCTCTTTCTTATCTTATTCCTCCTCCTACTCCTCCTCCTCCTCCTCCTCCTCCGCCTCCTCCTTTCTTCTTCTACGCCCCTCCTCCTCCCTCCTCCTCCTTCTTCCCTCCACCTCCTCATCTCCTCCTCCTCCTCCTCTCCTCCTCCTCCTCCTCCTCCTCCTCTTCCTCCTCCTCCTCCTCCTCTCCTCCTCCTCCTCCTCCTCTTCCTTCCTCCTCCTCCTCCTCCTCCTCCTCCTCCTCCTCCTCCTTTCCCCGACCTGGTGCCGTTTGCCTTCAGGACGGGCCCCGCGGAGGAGGCCCCCCCCTCCCCCCGCGGGGCCGCGCGCTGCTGACGGCCCCGCGGGGCCCGGGGAGGGCCCCCCCCGGCCAGGTGCGGCCCGAGGTGTCCTTCTGGTCGAGGCGTCCCGACCCTGACCTTCCAGGAGGGCAAAAAAATGGCACCCGACTTAAAAACCAATCCCAGAGCAATTCTACGTCTTGGTTTTAGGCTGTTTCGTGTCGTTTTTTAAGTTTTTAGGCCTCCCGTGCTAAAGAATAGCTCTCTGGAAGGTCAGGGGAGGGCCCTCCCCGGCCAGGTGCGGCCAGAGGCGTCCTTTTGGTCGAGGCGCCCCGAGGATCTCCATGGAGGCCTCCAGAGTCATGTTGTTCCCATCGTACTTAAGGACCACATCCCAGAAATAGTTTCGAGCACCCAGAACAGTGTCGAAAGAGTGTCGAAAGAGTGTCTCCCAGGGCCCGACACGTGAAAACCCTTGATTTTTTGTGTGTTTTCCTGGTGTTCGAAATTCATTCTGGTGATCAAGGCTCAAGTCGGTTGGAACATCATGACTCCAGAGTGCTCTCGGAGGTTGATCGACCCGCTACCCTGACACGTCGATGCAGGGATTGGCCGTTTTCGGTTCGCGAGGGGACGTCGCGGCCGTCATTTTTGTTGCGGTTCCAGGTCCGTCGGTTTCGGTCCTAGGCCGTTTCCACTCAGGTGAGGTTTACGAAAGGGAGGTCTGTCCATTGCCGATACTCTGGATTTCACCATCCGATGGTGGCGGTCTGATGTGTTTTGGGGGGGGGGTCTGATCCGAGCTGTCTCGGAGGGTTCCGCCGGGGTCCGGGGCAACGGGCCGCCCCCTGCATGGGGCGGTCTGGGGGGGTCGGGGGCTGCTCGTCTGGGAGGGATGTGCCCCCCCGTCCTTCTGCTGCAGGATTCTGTGGCACATCTCGCGGGGCCCAGAGGGCCCCGAGGGCTCCAACGTGGAGCGAGAGGCCTCAGGAGCGAAAGAAGGACGTACATGTACATGAATCCACGCTGGTTTCGAGAGTGCGCATTGCGCAAATGTTCGTATGACGCGGCCGGTCTCGCGGATCGAGGGGCCGTGTTCATGTACATATAGCTGGGCGCGTACGTCCTCTGTGGGCTCCCTATAAGGCTGGGGGGCGCCTCGGGCCGGGGGCGCCTGCTGCAGGCCTCGGCCCCGGAGGCCGAAGCACCGCGAGAAGCCTCAAGGCCTGACGGGTTCCAAGCCGCCTGGGCCCGGAGATCCGACGCCGCGAACGAGCTGCTCAGGGAGGAGAGTCCGCTCGGTGCTCTCCCCCGCGCAGTGGGATCACCTCGAGCATACGCCTGTGGGGGAGGCTGGCGCACAGTCAGCAACACGGGCATATCGTGGGCTGAGAGAACACGGCGCCGGGAACCAGCTGAAGCACATAAAGCAAGTCACGGCGGGAGCCCCAGACCCCAGCTTCCTGCGCCACGTTTCAAGCGCAAGCGATCGTTGAGGGCCCCAGGGCCTGCATCTAGGCGAGAACGCCGGGCTCGAGACAGAAAATATCGATGCAAGGACATCAGGGCTCAGCGACCCCTGACCCAGAGTCCGAAAAGCGGCGAACGCATCCGCCCTGACTGCTCCCAAGACGCTGGAGGTCTGGCTCCGCTGCTTTCTGTCAAAGGCGATCTGTCGCTCTCAATCCCCAGGCCGCCCTCGAAAAAACAGGTCGCTCAGAAAAGAGGTGCAACTCGACGATGCGCCTTTTCGGGGGTTGTCTGGGCGCACCCCCATCGAGGATGGAAGCCCCCCCACCACATGGGGCGTTCCAAGCATGGCCTTGCCTTCGAGGATCGCAGGAGCTGTCAGCTCTTCCGTCGCGGAGGGCGGCAGAAGGTCGGCGGAAGTAAGACGAGGCCGCCTCCGCCAGCCGGAAGTCCGGCGGAAGGCGGCGGAAGTAAGAGATGCGCGCCCAAATTCCCGAGTTGGGCCCCAACTTGTTTGTCCAATGGGAAAGGCCCCAAAGTCGGGGATTGGGGTCGCCGTGCCCCTCGCTACGGTGAGGGCGATGGTTAAGGAGTGTGCCCAGGAGGCGTCAGACCCCGGAGGAGTCCCTCTCTGTGGACGGCGGCGGTGATATCCACTGCCGAGCCTCAATTCGTTTTCCAGTGGCCAGACCCTGGATTCTTTGTCCGAGGGTTCTGTGTCCAATGCCTTCACCGTACCCTTCGTTTGCTGCCTCCCTTGCTCGTGCGGGCCATCACCACCACCACCAGGGGGACACCTCCAGCGAGGAGGTCCACGATGCCTCCCCGAGCTGGGGATGGGGGATGTCTCGAGTGAAGGGGGGGACGACCCACCAGGGGGGCCCCCCCCTGGTTTCCCCCGCTGGTGATCGCTGGCGGTGGCGGTGGTGGTGGTGGTGTCGCTCTGCCTGAGATTCTGGCTCGAAAACTAGCGCATACAGATAGGGCCCAGGGCTCCGGTCGTGATTTGTCCTGAGGTTGCCATGTGTTCGGGTCGTCGGATCTCAGGGTGCCACTCGTCAGCTAGCTGCCTCCCCAGATATGCGGTGTCTCCACTGTAACAGTCCGCAGTTCCGACCCTTTCCTCGGGGCCGTGCTTTCTTTATTCCGACCCGTTCTCTACGTTCCCGAAGCCCGGCGAGGGCCCCTGGAGCCCGAAAACGGCCAAACGCCGTCTTCTCTTTTGTCCACGACGCGAGCGTGCCTCGGTCCTGTGCGCGCGCGGGCCTGCCATGGCGGCCGCGCCGCCGCCCGCCGCCTCGCCGGCCGGCGCAGCCGCCCGGCGGCCGCCGCGGCCGCGCGGCGGCTCCGCGGGGCCCGCCCGGCCCGCGAAGCGGGCCCGGCGGGCCCTCGCGCGGTCGGGCGGGAAGGCGCCTTTTTGAGGCGGGGAGTTTTTGCAGGAGCACCGCCTGGAGGATCGGTTTTTTCGGATGCAGCTCCTGGGAGGTCAGGTACTGATTTTGCCCTGGTCCGACGCCTGGCTTGATCCCGCTTCCTCCGGCTCACTCCCGCTGAATCCGGCTTACTCCGAAGCCCACTCCAGCCTGACAGCCTTCCAATAGGGCTTAATCCTTTTTAATCCTTCGACCTCCCTCCTCCCTCGCCGTCGTCGCCGTCGTCACCGTCGTCGTCCTCTGTCTTTCCTTGTCGTCGTCGTTGTCGTCCTCTTCGGCGTCGTCGTCGTCGTTTCCGTCGTCGTTGTCGCCGTGGTCGTCCTTCCTCCTCCCTCGTCGTCGTCGTCGTCCGTCGTCGGCGTCTCGTCGTCGTCCCTCCTATTTCATAGCCGTCGTCGTCGTTGTCGTCGTCGTCTTCCCTCCTCCCTCGTCGTTGTCGTCGTCGGCGTCGCCGTCCTCCCTCCTTCTTCGTCGTTCGCGTCGTCGCCGTCCTCCTCCCTCGTCGTTGTCGTCGTTGTCGTCCTCCCTCCTCCCTCGTCGTCGTCGTCTTCGTTGGCGAGATCGTTGTCATCGTCGTCTTCGTCGTCTTCGTCGTCGTCGTCGTCGGCGTCGTTGTCGGCGTCGTCGGCGTCGGCGTCGTCATCGTCGTCGTCGTCGGCGTCGGCGTCGGCGTCGTCGTCGTTGGTGTCGTCGTCGTCGTCGTCGTCGTCGTTGTCGTCGTCGTCTTCGTTGGCGTCGTCGTCGAAGTCGTTGGAGACGTCGTCGGCGTCGTCGTAGTCGTTGTCGGCGGCGTCGTCGTCGTCGTTGTCGCTGTCGTCGTCGGCGTCGGTGTCATCGCCAAGTGCCATGTGGTACCAACCGTCACGGTCTTAAGAGCTCGAGAGGTCTTGCGACCAAGTTGCGGGTGGGAGGGTGGGATGTTTGCACGAGCAATGGAGAGGACAGCTTCAAGTTGAGCAAGTGATTGATTGCACCACGTAGATTGTACCGCATCAACTGCAAGAACCGACTGTTTGGGGTCCACGCTGGCTGACATTTTTTCATTGAGCATAGTAGCTCAAAACAGGATGATGGTGCCGCTATTTTTCCGTAGGCCACGGGTCCTTGGTGATGCTGCGGCCTGCTGGCCCCCATGAGAGGAAGCTCGCTGGTACGTGAGGCCCACTTCGCGCTCGGCATTCCCAGTCTCACGATGTGCCTCCTCGCATTCCTAGGGCAATGTGGCCCTCGGAGGGGTCTCGTGTCCTCTCTCGTGTCCTGTCCAATCAAGTCCGACTACGGCGGCGGCAGTGGACAAGGAACGTCTCCTTGGGGCCCAGACCCTGGCGCATTCCTTCTTGTTTCAAGGCGAGGTGGGTGGTCCACGAGTGGCCGCCCATCGGTCGCGAGACCCTGGGCTCCTTATCGAAGGCATCCTCATCTGACACCTCCACCGCATGAGCTGCGGCGCTCAGCGCTGCGGCATGCGAGTGGCATGGGCTGCCAGGGGCCCTGCGCGGTGTCTCTGCGCTCTCGGGGCTCCTGCCTGCATGCCCTTCCCTTCGAGTTTCTGTTCCTTCATGGATGCGTCGGCAAAAACGCCTCCACCGTGTAATCGTCACGACTGGCTGCCGTGACCCATGGCCTCAGCCGTCACCCACACTCCTCCCCGCGCCTCCTGGAAGCCAGCCTGTGTGCGTGCGCCGTGCGATCGTCTTGCCTCGTGCGCGCGCGTTTCGGCTCCCGCCATTGCCACAGCATCCCGAGTGCCGGAGGAACACTTGCGGGGAGGAGTTCTATAGGGGAGCAAACCAGTGGCATATCCATAAAAACCCGCGCGGACTTCTCGGATCGGCGCTGGACCCCCCTCCCTGTCGCGCGGAGCGCGCCAGGGGCGCCGCTGGGGGGCCCCAGCGCCCATCCGAGAAGTCCGCGCGGACCTCCGAGTTTTGATGTTTATGTCACTTTATGTTCCCCTGTTCTAGCCTTCTCGAAGGCATCCTCATCCAAAACCTCCACCGTGTACAGTCGGGGCCCTGAAGAAGGAACCCCCTTCGTTGGGGAGGGGCTCCGCGCCCCTTACGTGTTTCACAGCTTGCCTCAGGTGTTCCTTATGTTTTCGATCGGAGATCGAAGTTGAACTTGTGGAATAAAGGGGCCTCGTTCCTTATTTAGGCTTCCTTAGGTCAACGCCCCGACTGGATGTTCATGCAGCTCTTCTTCCTGCATCAGTCGAAGAGCATACATCTGCATACGGCAGGCTCGCGTCGTGTTGACCGGCGGCGACCCCAGCGCGGGCTTGTAAGGTGGAACGCCGCCTGTGGCCCAGGATCGGCCCATCCTTGAACAATCGGGCCGACGGTCAACGCCCCGACGGTAATCGTCACGGCTGGCTGCCGTGACCCACGGGGCGGCGACGCCACCGCCCCCCCCGCGGCGCGGGCCTCGGGCCGGCTCCGCGCGCGGGCCTGCGGCGTCCGCCCCTCGGGGACGGCCGTGCAGGGCGCACCCCCGACCCTGCGGCGTCCGACCCTCGGGGGGGGCCTCCTCCTCCTCCTCCTCCTCCTCCTCCTCCTCCTCCTCCTCCTCCTTTCCCCGACCTCTGGTGCCGTTTGCCTTCAGGACGGGCCCCGCGGAGGAGCCCCCCCCCTCCCCCCGCGGGGCCGCGCGCTGCTGACGGCCCCGCGGGGCCCGGGGAGGGCCCCCCCCCGGCCAGGTGCGGCCAGAGGTGTCCTTCTGGTCGAGGCGTCCCGACCCTGACCTTCCAGGAGGGCTGAAAAATGGCACCCGACTTAAAAACCTATCCCAGAGCTATTCTACGTCTTGGTTTTAGGCTGTTTCGTTTCGTTGTTTAGGTTTTTGGGCCTCCAGTGCTAAAAAAATAGCTCTCTGGAAGGTCAGGGCAGAGAGGGGCGCTCCCTCGGCGAGGCGCCGCGGCGGGGCCCTGATTTTCCAGAGAGCTATTTTTTTAGCAGAAGAGGCCTAAAAACCTAAAAGACTGCGCGGAACAGCCCAAAACCAAGACGTGGAATAGCTCTGGGATAGGCTTGTAAGTCGCGTGTTACTTTTTAGCCCTCCTGGAAGGTCAGGGGAAGGCCCTCCATGGGCCGGCAGACTGCCGGCGGCAGCGGCGGAGCAGAGCGTTGTGAGTCTTGTCTCAGGACGTGGGGCGCCCCCTCCCTGATCCCCCAGGAGGGCCGGAAAATAGCACCCGGCCAAAAAGCCTGTCCCAAAAAGGGCGCTCCCTCGGCGAGGCGCCGCGGCGGGCAGGCGCTTCCCGGGCCGGCAGACTGCCGGCGGCAGCGATGGAGCAGAGCGCTTCGAGTCTCGTCTCAGGACGTGGGGCGCCCCCTGAGATCCGACGGCTCGGAAACTGAGTTGCCTCGATACGCGCGTCTTGGAACGCGGCACGTCCCGTGTTCGAGACGCCCGTGTCAACACGCTGCGTGCTGGCTCCACGCATCTCGGACCACGTTCTGGCGAAGGTGTCGCCTGCGTGTTGCGTTCCGCATCGCTACGGTACTCACCACCCACCAAACGACCCCAACCCAACCCGAAGGCCCAAATTTATCCTCGATTTCCAGTGGGGGGGGGGTCGGGGAACACTGAAAAAACACATGGAACCCGTACCCCCCCCAACCCGAAATTCGATTCAAATTCGGGTCTTCGGGTTGGGTTGGGGTGGTCTGGTAGGTAGTCAGGTACGTGTTGCGTGTTGCGCATCGGGGCAGCTGAGCTCGGCAAAATCGCAACGTCGGGAAGCCTCCCGCCCGGGGGGCCCCGGACCCCACCCCTCCGCGCCGCGCGGCGAGCCGCAGCGGCCCACGGCGCGGGCCCCCCGGCCCGAGGGCGGGCCCAGGGCGAAGACGCCCGCCTCGGCAGCGTGGAGGCGCCGTGCTCTCGGGAGGAGGAGGAGGAGGAGGAGGAGGAGGAGGAGGAGGAGGAGGAGGAGGAGGAGGAGGAGGAGGAGGAGGGGAAGGAGGAGAGGGAGGAGGAGGAGGAGGAGGAGGGAGGAGGGGAGGAGGAGGGAGGAGGAGGAGGAGGAGCTCTCCTGGGCCCGGGCAGGTCGGCCGCGGCGCCCGGCGGCCACCTGGAGTACCCCGCGGCGGCCGGCGAGGCGGGCACCGCGGCCGTGGTCTGGCTGCACGGCTTCGGGGACGGCCCCGAGGACTGGGCGGCGGGCATGCGCCCGGGTCGCCGCCGCCACGGCGGCTGGAAGTGGGTGCACCTGAGGCCCGGGGCGAGCGAAAGGGCTGGGAGGCCGCTCCCCTGACCTTCCAGGAGGGCTAAAAAAATAGCACCCGACCTAAAAACCTATCCAGAAGCTTTTCCACGTCTTGGTTTTAGGCTGTCTCGCGCAGTTGTTTAGGCTTTTAGGCCTCCAGTGCAAAAACATAGCTCTCTGGAAGGTCAGGGTCCTGCGCCCCCCCTCAGGGCTCGCGCCGTGAATCTTGAGCACTGGCGGGCGCTTTTTGGCAGTTTTCGGTCGCTGGGGGCCGTGACAAGAACGGTTCAGGATGAAGAGCCCGTCCGGGGGAATTGGTCGGGACTCGGGGGGACCGCGCATGGGAAACAACAGGGCATCGCATGTCTGGCTTTGGAGCGGGCTGGGGTGAGATGGCCCAGCACGGGTTCCAGGCAGCAGCAGGGGGGGGGAGCGAGGGATGGGGCCCCCTTGTCGCCATGGCCGGGCACGGCCCGGAAAACTTGCCAGGTTCGACCCCGGAATGGAGGGGCCTGGGGGCCCGATGTTGAGCGGATTTGCTCTCGTCCCCCCCCCTCCCCCCGTCTTGATTGATTGTGAAGGCCTTACGGCTGGTGCCGCCGACCCTGAAGACGACGACGACGACGACGACGACGACGACGACGACGACGACGACGACGACGACGACGACGACGGCGGCGGCGGCGGCGGCGGCGGCGGCGGCGGCGGCGGCGGCGGCGGCGGCGACGACGACGACGACGACGACGACGACGACGACGAGGTCGAGGAGGAGGAGGAGGAGGACGAGGAAAAGGAGGGGGGGAGGAGGAGCAGGAGGATGAGGCCGAGGACATGGTGGAGCAGCAGCAGCAGCAGGAGGAGGAGGAGGAGGAGCAGGAGGAGGGGGAGGAGGAGGAGGCGGAGGAGCATGCGGAGGGGGAGCAGGGCACGGGGGAGGACGGGGGGGGAATGAGCAGTAGGAGAACGAGGTTGATGGGAGTTGAGGACCAGGAGCCTCCGTCACCCCCCCTTGATTAATTCCTTTCGCTTCGCGGGGTGCACATCCGGAGCACGTACACTCACGTCGTCGCGGGGCCTCTTGGGAGCCTCTTGGGGGCCTCCTGGAGGCCTCCTGGGAGTTTCTTTGGGCCTCTTGGGGGCTTCTTTGGGGCCTTTCCCCCCTCCCTCCTTTTCATACACCCTCCCCATCTTCCCTTCCAGTGCCGGCTCTAATCATGGGCGCCGCAGTGACCAACTTCCACCTGGCTGGCGCTGCGCCGCAGTTCGCCCAGAGGGGGGAAAATAACATTACACTCCAGTCGCTGTGTGGCCTTTGGGTGGTTTTTTGGGGGCCTTTTGGGGGCTTCTGGGGGACTTCTTGGGGGCCTCTTGGGGCCTCTTGGGGGCGTCTTGGGCCGTCTTGGGGCGCTGTAGCGCCGTTTCGCCCCCTCGGATGCTGTCTTGGGGGCCTCTCGCGGCCGCATTGGAGCCTTCTTGGGGTTCTCTTGGGCCGTCTTCGCGGCCTCTTGGACCGTCTTGGGGGCCTCTTTGAGCAGTTTTGGGGCCCTCTTGGGCCGTCTTGAGGCCCTCTTGGGGGCTTTTTGGGCTGCTCTGGGGGGATTCTGGAAGCCGCTGGGGCCGTCATGGATGTTTGAGAGTCGAAAAAAGCGAGAACGCTAAGATACGGCAGAAACAATAGGAAAATCAATGATCTCGGCCTCTGGAGGCGCAGTTGTGGGCGCTTTTGGGGCCCTCTTGGGCCGTCCTTGGGGCGTTGGGGGCCCTCTTGGGGCCGTCTTGGGGGCCTCATGGGCCCCAGTTGGGAATATCTTGGGCCGTCTTGGGGCCGTCTTGGGCCGTCTTGGGGCCATCTTGGGCCATCTTGAGGCCCTCGAGGAGCTCCAAGAGGCCCAAGAGGCCGAATTTGTTGATTGTCATAGGTTTTCGTATGTTTTTGGAGCCCCAGAGGGGGGCGATCAGTTTGGCACGGCGCTGTGGCGCGGCTCCCAGGGGGGGTTAGGGGGGGAGACATGATAACGTATTACAATACAATATGTTGCAATTATGGGATCTTTGGATACATCGGATACGTTGCATTAAGGCGTTCGCCGAAAAACGCTGCCGCTCAGCACTTCACCTCCGGACGTGGATTCCTTTCGCTTCGCGGGGTGCACGTCCGGAGCACGTACAGTCACGTCGTCGCGGGGCCTCTTGGGAGCCTCTTGGGGGCCTCCTGGAGGCTTCCTGGGAGTTTCTTTGGGCCTCTTGGGGACTTCTTTGGGGCCTTTCCCCCCTCCGTCCTTTTCATACACCCTCCCCATCTTCCCTTCCAGCGCCGGCTCTAATCATGGGCGCCGCAGTGACCAACTTCCACCTGGCTGGCGCTGCGCCGCAGTTCGCCCAGAGGGGGGAAAATAACATTACACTCCAGTCGCTGTGTGGCCTTTGGGTGGTTTTTTGGGGGCCTTTTGGGGGCTTCTGGAAGGCTTCTTGGAGGCTTTTTCGGGGTCTCTTGGGGCCTCTTGGGGGCGCTTCGGCCGTCTTGGGGTGCTCTTGCGCCGTTTCGCCCCCTCGGAGGCTGTCTTGGGGGCCTCTCGCGGCCGCATTGGAGCCCTCTTGGGGTCCTCTTGGGCCGACTTCACGGCCTCTTGGACCGTCTTGGGGGCCTCTTTGGGCCGTTTGGGGGCCCTCCTGGGCCGTCTTGGGGCCCTCTTGGGTGTTTTTGGGGTTGTCATGGGGCGATTCTGGAAGCTGCTTGGGCCGTCATTGATTTTTGAGAGTCGAAAAAAGCGAGAACGCTAAAACATTGCAAGAACCATGGGAAAATAATGATTTCGGCCTCTGGAGGCGCAGTTGTAGGCGCTCTTGGGGCCCTCTTGGGCCGTCCTTGGAGCTTTTGAGGGCGTCTTGGGGCCGTCTTGGGGGCCTCATGGGTCCCCGTTGGGAATATATTGGGCCGTCTTGGGGCCCTCTTGGGGCCGTCTTGGGCCGTCTTGGGGCCATTTTGGGCCATCTTGAGGCCCTCGAGGAGCCCCCAGAGGCCCAAGAGGCCGAATGTGTTGATGTTCGTTTGTTTTTGTAGGTTTTTAGGGCCCCAGAAGGGGGGCGTCACTTTGGTCCGGCGGTGTGGCGCAGCTTCCAGAGGGGGGTTAGGGGGGGAGACATAATAATGTAACACAATACAACATGTGGCAAGTATGCAATCATTGGATACATTGGATACGTTGCAGTAAGGCGTTCGCCGAAAAACGCTGCCGCTCAGCACGTCACCTCCGGACGTGGATTCCTCTCGCTTCGCGGGGTGCACGTCCGGAGCACGTACAGACCGAGCGTTGGGTGGTCTGCCCGCAGTGCCGGTCTGCCCACCTCCGGGCGCCGCCAGCGCCACGAGGGGCGGATGCGCCCCCCTCAGTTTCAGCGCTGGGACGAGCGTGCGAATGTCCACGAGGTGAATGAGCATTCTCCGCGTGTCAGTACAAGGCTGGCCTATATGTTCGGCAATCGCCCTTTGCACGAAATCTTCTACCTCGGGGCCACTGCCCTCCTTCCTCCCTCCTCGCGTGCCTTCAGTTGGAGGTGCGGTGCGCCCAGCGGAGTTCTTGCAATGAACCGCCCGCTGCACTGCACCTGGTCCAGACCGTCAGCTGGCCGCTCAGTCCTGTCGTTGTGGGGCCCTTTGAGAGCCTCTTTGGGGCCTCTTTGAGGCCTCTTGGGGGTTTGTTGGGGTTTCTGGAGGGCTTTTTGGGGACCTCTTTGGGCCTCTTGGGGGCGTCTTGGGCCGTCCTGGGGCGCCTTTGCGCCGTTTCGCCCCTTCGGAGGCCTTCTTGGGGACCGGGGAGGGAGAGGAGTCAGAGGAAGAAAAACGGAAGAGGAGGAGGAGGAAGAGAAGGTAGCAGGGGTATGGGTGGTGTTGAAAGTAATTGGCAATACTTGTGGTTCAAATTTTAGTTTCTGGCAGCTCTTCACGGCCGCCGCCATGGTCATGCTGAAGTTGCTAGCCGTGAACGGCCACTCGAAGTCGGACGTTATCGCCATCGACTCGTCGGCCACCGGGGCGGAGCTTCTAGCCGCCATCTGGGACAAGTTCGGCTGGACGTTTAAGGCGGCGAACTTCCAGAACGAGGCTGGCGATACCTTCTCGCCCCAAATACATGCGAATACTTCCTCCGCAGACGGCGAAATTTATTGTCTGAGCTCGCGCGTTCGGTGGGCGGGCGCGCCGCTCCCGAGTGGGCCCGCCGCGGTCTCTGCACCGCCGAACATTTTCGGGTGAAGCCGCGCTCGCCCGCGGGGCCGCTCGTTCTTTCCCAGGAGCCCACGTTTTGAAGAAAAACCAGAGCCGAGGGCCAAGGGCAGCGTCGGCGGCAGGAAGCGGCGGCGGAAGCTCTTGCTCGTGCTGTCCTTCCCTCCCGGCCCCTCTTGTCTTTTTCAGTCACCCTGCCTCTCCTCCCTTCCAGCGCCAGCTATTTCATGGGCGTCGCTGTGACTATCTGCCACCTGGCTGGCGTTGGCTTAGAAATTTCGCCCGTGCCGGAGGTTGCATTCGCGCGTAGAAAGGCGGGAAGCGGATCTCCCCGAGGGGCGCGCGCGGGGCAAGCCGCTGCCTCTGGACTTGCCGCTGGGCGACACCCTCAAGGACGGCGCCGCGGTCACGGCCCAGAGAAACAGGGGCGCCAGGCTGCGCAGTCATTGACGTCACCGCGCCGCTGCCGCCGGCTTGTCTCGGCGGCGCGCGCGTGTATTGCTACACGTGGGCGTCGGCAAGACAGGTTGGAGGTGGTCGGTGCGGCGACGTGTCTTCGATGCGCCGCGAGGCCGACGACCGCGGCCGCCGCGCCGGCGCGGCGGGCGGCGGCGACGGCAGCGGCGCCGAGGAGCGCGGCTGGGTCGCCGCGCTCGCGCACGCGCTCCTCGAGAAGCTCGGGCGGTTCGGAGAGCTCGGAGAGCTCCGACAACGAGTCCGCGAGCGCGGAACCCGACGCGCCGCCGCGCGCAGCCGCGGCGGCGCCGGAAGCGGCTCCGGCGCGGGCGGCGGCGGCGAGCTCGGCGGCGGCGCCGGGGGTCGCGGGGAGCTCGCCGCGCGGCGCGGAGGCGGACAGGTTGCGGAAGGAGCTAGCACAGGCGCGCCAGGAAGCCGCCGCCGCGGCGACGGCGCTGGGCGAGCGCGACGCAGAGCTCGCGACGGCGCGCGCGGAGCTGGCGCAGGCGCGCCAGGAGGCGCTCGACGCAGAGGCGGCCAAGGAGAGGCTGGAGACCAGGTCGGTCCATCGGGTGACGGCCGCTAAGCGCGCTCGCGGGGAGAAGTTCAGACTTCTCCGCGCGAGGGCGCCGGGTCGCACCGAGAACCGCACTTGTTCTGCAAGGTGCGCGGGCCTGACGACGGAGGGCCACCGCCTGACGCGCGAAACGTCAGAGCTCCAGGCGCAGGTGAACTACTGGGCCACGATGTACCACGGCGGCCAGCACGTCGACGGCGTGGATTACCCGGGCAAGAAGGAGTTGGCTTTGCAGGAGCAGGTGGCGCTCCACCAGAAGAACTCGGCGCCGGGGAGTGCGCGCGCAATCGCCCGCGCACCAGGGGAGAGCCCCGCGCAGCTCCTCGAACGCCTGGGCACGGTGCGTTCCGAAGTGCGCGCGCAGGGCTCTCCGAGTGCGACGGGCTGGCGTTTGCGGGCACGGTCCCCGCAGGAGCTCCACGAGAAGAACGCGAGGCTGTTGCAAGAGAACCACGAGCTGAAGCTGAAGGCGCAGGCCTGCTACAGTTGCTCGGGGCGCAAGGAGCAAGACCAGGCCCGCGGCAAAGGCCCTCGGCGCGCGGGCGGGGGCGGCGCGGGGGGCGGCCTTCGAAGGATGACGGCGGCCTCCTACGGAGAGAGCTGATGCCTTGCAGTAGGCTTCAGCAGAACGCTTACCAGGGGGCTGCGTTTTTCGAAGGCTGCCGACGCGCTCGGCCCTCCCGCGCGCCGCCAACGAGGCGGCGGCGGCAAGGGGCAGGGCAAGCCGCGCCACGGGCCAGGGAGCGCGGGCGGGGCGCCGGGCGGCGCCGCCCAGGGCGCTGGCGGGAAGGCTGGCGGCAACGCGCAGGCCGCGAGCACGGCGCCGGGAAAGGCCGCGCCGGGCCAAGCCAGCGGCAAGGGGCCAGGCAAGCGCGGCAGCGCGGCTGAGAGCGCGGGCGGCGCGCCCAGCAACGGCTTTTAGGGCAGGGGCGGGAAGGGGGAGGAGGAGGGGGAGGGGGAGGGGGAGCAGGAGGGGCAGGGAGAGGGAGACAAGGGGCGGGGAGAGGCCGGCGAGTTTCTCGGCGTGCTTCTACAAGCTGTCGGGAGCCCCAGGGTGCCTCGTTCCTTTCTGGGATTGTCTGGTGCCCCGCCGGTGCTTTGTAGGGGTCCGTCAAACGCTTTGTGGGTGGAGCGTCTCGGACGTTCTCGGGTGCTCCGTGGGAAGTACTCGCGCACCTTCCAGTGCCTTTCGGTGTTGGTCGTGTGCGTTCAGGTGCCATGCGGGTGCCTTCGGGTGCCCTGCGGTGTTTGGCAGATGCTTCGGGTGCCCTTCCGGGTCCCTTGCGGGTGCCTTTCGGCTTCCTTGCCGATGCTTTCGGGTGCCCTGCGGTGTTTTGCGGGTGCCTTCGGGTGCCTTGCGCGTGCCTTACGGGCGCTCCGGGTGCCCGTTGGGCGCCTTTCGGGTGCCTTCGGGCGCCTTGCGGGCGCTTGCTGGTGCCTTCGGGGGGTCTGTCAAACATTGCGTGGGTGGAGCGTATCGGATGTCGTCGGGCGCCCCGTGGGAACTACAAGCATCTTCCAGTGGCTTTCGGTGTTGTACGGGTGCCTTCGGGTGCCTTGCGGGTGCCTTCGGGTGCTTTGCGGTGCCCTGCGGGTGCCTGCGGGTGCCCTTTTGGGTGCTTTGCGGGTGCCTTGCGGGTGCTTTGCGGATTCCTCGCGTGTGCTATCGGGTCCTTGTCGGTGCCTTGCGAGTGCTTTCGGGTGCTCTGCGGTGCTTTGCACATGCCTTCGGGTGCCCTTGCGGGTGCCTTGTGGGTGCCCTCCGGGTGCGCTACGGGTGCTTTCGGGTGCCCTTTGGGTGCCTTGCGGGTGCCTTCGGGTGCCTTGCGGGTGCCTTGCGGGTTCTTTCGGGTGTCCTTCGGGAGCCTTTCGGGTGCCTTCGGGCGCCTTGCGGGTGCCTGCCGGTGCCTTCGGGGGGTCTGCCACACGCTGTGTGGGTGGAGCGTCTCGGATGTTGTCGGGCGCCCCGTGGGAACTACCTGGAGTACGCCTTCGGCTTGGGCGCGTTCCTGGCGCACTTTCCGCACCCTGCTCCGGACCACCGCGGGACGCGGTCGCACCACTATCCGACGCAGACAACCGCGTCTTCGCCGTGGGTGCGAACGGTGCGGTGGAATGGTCCGAACGGAAGCCAGAACTCCATGCGCTTCCTGTGCTGCCCGGAAGACGTGGTGTGCGACCGTCAGCATGGAGTTGTTGATGAGCTGTGCGAGTCGTGCCGCATACCTCTGTGCTGGCAGTGCCGCGGCATTTTCGCGAAGACGCGAACGGTGCGGGAGCGAATCCCGCGTCCCGCCATCGCCAACGACAACTTTGTCGGGTTCGTGTCGGCATGGTGGGAGAAGCACAAGCCCCGGTGGATCGAGATGGCCGCGGCCACGCCAGTGTGGACGAGTTTGATGGCGTTCTACGTCGAGGGCGATAAGGGCCACCTCATGAACGATCAGGCGAGCTGCGCGAAGTAGCGCGGCACTGCCCCTTCTCTGTTCTTTGCGGACCCCGCCCCCCCTGGAAACTGCAGCGCGGCCGAGTGGCGCACGGGGGGTAGTGGCGCGCTGCTCGCACGGCGAACCCCAGAGGCCATGCATCCGCACAGTCGGTACGCTGTCCGCGGTAATCTGGCCAGCTTCCTGGTGCATTGGGACGACGTCCTGGAGCGCCTGCTCGCCATCACGGAGAGTTCCAGTGCTGCTGCGGCGCTGCCCCACGACGGCGAGACGCTGGCCCACTTGGTTCGCTTCGAGTTCCGGATGAAAGACAAGGACATGTCGAAGCACCTGAAGCACATGCGCCTCCGCGCTCATGTGGTGCTGCAGCTCGGCTGGGAGCTCATCGACCGCGGCCACCCCGCTTTTTGTAGAGATGCTGCTGGCAATCCCATCGCAATCGCCGCTGCCAAGGAGGCGTTTGAAAGGCGCGTGAAGCAGTGCTACCCGTGGCTCGGCACCCCCGAGGACACCGACGGGAAGGTCCCGCCAGCCGTGGACCGGGCGACGGTGGTGGCGGATCCGTCCAGGAGCAGTGTGCAGGATAACAAGCACGCGACTCCGGCGCTGGCCAGCACTGACGTCGCCTCTGTTTTCGACGATGCCAGACCGACCGCCTGCGCGCCCACAGATGCGACGTCCCGGCAAGGGACCGCGGGTCAGCGCCAACAGCGAGCCATGGACGGCGGGCCGGTCGTCCCGTACGTCGCCGACGCGGCCATGTTGGAGCAGTGGAACGGGAAGTACCCCGCGATCGCTTTCCCGCACACGCTGCTGTGGCAGAGCGGGGGGCCAGACTTCACGAGGTCTTGGCGCAACGGTGCCGATGCCGCACATCGGCGCCGCGCGGTGGGGCGGCCCGAGGAAGTGCAAAACCGGCCGTCCATCAGCATGGGGATGTGGCTTGCAGGCATGAGTCGCCGAGTGGAACACCAGATCCGATCGGACTGGCTCTTCATCCCAGGCATGCGCAATGTCCACTTCCGCTTTTTGGGCATCACCGCGAGGTTGGGGAGCAAAGTCAGGAAGTACAAGGACGAAGACGGATCCGCTTTCACGGAGCGCCTGACCACGGCTGTCCGCGGGTTGCACGACCTGTTGGCGAAGGGGTACTACGGGCCGAACAGGCGGCCAATTGCTGGCAACTTGACGGTGCTGCACATGGCGCATGGCCTGGACACAACCCAGAAACAGATCGTGCACAACATGCGCTCTGTGACGAGCAGCCTTGCAGGCACCCAGGAGCTGCGTCGCAGGATGGGCCACGTATTCCAGTCTGGCGCGATTGGATACGGGCACGGGCTTTTCATCACCATCTCGCCAAATGAGAAGCAGTCCTGCTTGGCGATGCGTCTACACAGAGCACGCCAGGGCGACCCGCTGCTGCGCGCGGGGTGCACAGACGACGCACGGAATGCCACGAGGAAACGATTGGCGTCACGGGAGTGGCCGTCATTGTCGGAGAGCGCCGACGCGGAGCTCCCCGATTTCGATTTGCGTCTGTGCGAAGTGGCCAATGATCCTCTCTCGGTCGTTCAGGGCTTCCGCGTCGCCGTGAACGTGATCTTGGGCCGCCTCCTGGGTCTGCGGTTGTGCGCCGAGTGCGGCGTCGCGCGAAGATATCGTAGGCAGCCCCGGTGCTGTTGCACGGACAAGTTCGGCTCCAACTCGCGCCCCATGGGCGGGATTTTCGGGGTTGCTGCAGCTTTGCTTGGCGCCGTCGAGAACCAGCACCTAGGCACGCTCCACTTCCACGGGTTCGTGTACCTCGCGAACATGTTCCAGCACGCACCCTTGACTGAGATCGCGAGGACAATTCGGGAGTCCCCTGGCTTGGCGGACGCGGTGAAGGAGTGGCACGCGTGGGTCCACAGGGAAGAGCACTGGGCCCCCGAGGAGCACCGGGAGAGCCTACCGTCGCTGGAGTCTGAGTGGCGGCAGAATCACCGCGCATCGGAGCACGTAGGTCTGTGTCGGTGGCCCGCGCATGTGGACCATGCCGAGCCGAAGACGAAGTGGGACGAGGGGTGCGATGCCGTTGCCTGCGACGCCGACGCGGCCACCTTCAAGCAGGCTTACGAGGCAGATGCGCAGATGATCTTCTCGAAGGTCCAGCATCACCACCATCCCAACGGGAAGCCGCTCACACACTGCATCAAGAAAGGCTGCAAACACGGCGACAAGTGCAAGCACGGCTTCCCGAAGACCATGCTCATGGCGGCCCCAGATGGACCGAGATTCCGCGTTGTGTGCCCTCAGGTGGCCAGGGAAGTCGGGCTTAAAGTGAACGGGCCGAGGAATGCGTTGGGCGAGATCGCGGGGCCTCGGAACGACGATTTCCTGAGCGGGACTTGTCCAGCATTGGCGGTGGCATTTCGGAGCAACACGCACACGGCGCCGAACAACCGGCTCCCGCTGATCACAGGCATTACTCACGACCCGAACTGCCTGTGTCGACACGGCTCCAGAGAAGACACAGAAGAAGGGCACCTTCGACGCATCGCATTCGCGGTGCAGCGGTCCATGTCGAACTCCTCGCGGTACATCGGCGGGTGCATTTCCAAGGTGCAGCGCGTCGGGAAGAAGGCGCTGGAACTGGCGAAGACCTGCCTGTCCACGCTGGCCGAGCGACTCCATGGGAAGTCCGAGATGCAGCAGACGCTCAACACTGTGCACCGCTGCATCGGGGACTGGGAGGCCAAGGGCGTGGCGCGGACGATCTTCGAGGAGGTGAACTTGGCGCACTTCGCGGACAGGCCGAACCCGCTCGCAGCGGAGTGCATCACGTCGCGCCCTGTCGCCGACTTCTACGCGGGCTGCTTCCTCCAGATCGTGGCCGACGAGACTCGGGCGGGGCGCGCGACGGCGCGGCGCCAGAAGAGGTCCGTGGTGTTCACGGACGCAGGCGAGGTGGCCACTCCGCCGGACGCGACGGCGCGAGCGTACGCCTACCGACCCAATCATGCCGAGTTGAAGACTTTGAGCCCGTGCGAGTTCGTCCGCTTGTTCGAGGTGGTACCAACGTACCCGCCACCAAGAGATGCTTCGAAGCCATCGACGGGCCCGACGGAGTGGAAGGCGAATTCGCCGCCGGCCGCGGCTGATGGGCCTCCACGGCCTGGGGTCCATTATGTCGTGAAGCCACCCGCGGAGGGATGCAGGTACTTTGCGCTCGAAGAAGACCCAGACGACATGGAGTTCGCGCACATGTACGTGATTGTACCCCGGGGCGTCCCCGCGCTACCCGTCTTCATCGGGTCCGTCATGCCTCAGCCCGAAATGACGCCTGAGCGCCGCAGCGCCATTTTGTCTGCGTACTTCCGACCATGGACATTGGTGTGCAAGTACGGATCTTCTCGGGGGCCTGTTCCGCTAGCGAAGAATCTGAACTTGCCGCCCAAGCGCCAGCGCTGTGGGAGGAGCGCGCCGAGCTTCCGAGTAGCCCTCAAGCACTACCTTCGCGGCCACATCGTCTCGCCGTCCAACCGCATCCTGTGGGCGAACGTGCTCCGCACCATGACGACGATGCCGGAGAACGCCGACGAGGGCGAGGACGACCAGGACTCGAAGCCGGTGGAGGCGCTACCCGAGAACGCGTTTCCGGTCCTCAGCCCCAGCAGCATCATGGCAGAGTTACGGCGAGTAGACCGAGACGCCGGGGCAGATGCCGCTGGCGAGGACATTGGGAACCTCTCCCATTCGGTGCACAAAGCGCTGGAGCAGAGCATGTCCTTCTGGGACCCGCCGAACAGGGCGCCCACGTTGAACTTGCCACTGCGACAGTCTGCTCTTCGGCATTCCAGTGCAATGCCAGCGGGGGCTCGCGGGAATGCCCAGGAGCCACCGCGGAAGATTGCGCGCTCCAAGATGCGGGAGAAGCTGTACCCTGGCGACGCTGACCTGACAAGCAACATCCAGAGCTGGCGGAGAGGACCGGGGGGGGGCAATCTCGAGACGTGCAGTTGGCAAAAGCACGATCTGGATGCAGTTCGGTCGGGGGCGCCCGATTCGTCTCGCTCTGGAAGAAGATATCGAGGATGGAAACCTCGGCGTTTGAGCTGGCGTGTATCGAACAGAGTTTGTACAGAGCATGTGCAGAATGTGTACACATCATGTATACTCCAGAACGTCATGTCGTAAGTGGTGAGTAGATCCAAGTATGGGGAAGGTTGATTACAAGCGAGGCTTCGTGTATACACTTAAAAGGATGGCGCTGCGTTTGCTTGCATTGCCTCGGTCGCGCCATGCGTGCTCTGTGGAAGGTGCGCGTACGCGTCTACATGTGCACGCGCGTATAGTGTGTGTATGTATAAACATGGACTTCCCAGATGTATACACGTCTGGGCATGCCAGGCAGGTGGCGCGGCACGTGTGATGTGTAGCAGACAGGGTTGTGCAGCAGTCGTCGGTAAGGTGGGTAGTGTGAAGGGAGGCAAGGCCATGCGCATCCCTGCCCGATCGCAGGACTGCAGACGCACCAGATCACCCCCGACCCGCAGCAGATGAGCATCCTGGACGCCGTCGCCGACAGGTGCGTCCAGGAGGCCCGCGAGCAGGACCAGCTGCGCGGATCGCCATGCTCCCGGCTGTTCGTTCTCGGCCTGCCGGGTTCAGGGAAATCGGAGGTCATCCGGTGGCTGTGCGAGGAGGGCGTGGGGCTGTTCCCCACGTGCATGGGATGGGAACACGAGGTGCACTTCATCAAGACCGCCCCCATGAATTCCATGGCGAGCAACATCGGTGGGCGAACCATCCACAACTTCAGCAAGCTCGGAATCGACCTCATCACGGGAGTCCAGTCCGGCGGGAAGAAGGACCCGGAGTTGTCGGAGAACATGCTGCACACGAAAATCCAGCACATGCGCTGGCTCATCATCGACGAGGTGGAGAACGTTTCGGTGGAGTTGCTGGACGCCGTGCACAGGCAGGTGAAGGACTCGACGAGGGACAAGGGAAACCCCTGGGCCGTGGACGCACGCGTTCCAAAACAGTTCGCCATGTTCGGAGGGCTCAACCTGGTGCTGCTCGGGGACTTATGGCAGATACCGCCCGTCAGGAGTCTCAGTATTGCCGCCAACCCATTTGTCAAGAGACCCGCCAACGTCGGCCGCATACTGGAGATGTTCTGGACAGAGGGCTTGCCGCACTCGGTGACTAACCGCTACGCCCTGGCCCAGTCGCACCGCTGCTCAGACGTGTGGTGGAGAAGCTTTCTCGCCGAAGCGCGCGCTGGGAATCTGTCGGACAGGATGTACGATTTCGTCCACGGCTTCCCCACTGATGTGCCCGGCTCCTGGATGCCCGCAAGCCCCGGCAGCGCCGAGGCCTCGACGGGGCACTTCGGCTGCGGGAAGGCGAAGTGCCGCGCGCTCTGGTCAGTTGAGTGGCCACGGATGTTCGGAGAAGGTCGGGCCTGGGAGGACATGAAATCCCTGGAGTGCGCTGAGTGCAGCGCGGAACGCCATCGGCGCTGCCGCGTCGCCTCTCAGAGCGATGCCAGACAGCGGGAGGTGAGCACGGCGTTCGCGGACGCGCTGTTCGTGCACCCGTACAACGCCCCGAAGAGCAGGATTCTGACGCTGCGAGCGGCGAATGCGGCAGCCAATGCTGGGAAGCAGCTCCTCTGGGTGGTGGCGCGCGATGTCCCCCTCACTCGGGACGACGCATGCAGGTCGACGGAGTCGCTCTCCCACGCCAGGCAGAACTGGCTCATGTACCCCGAGAACAAGACTGGCGGAGTTCCGGGTGTGCTGCCGATCTTCGAGGGGATGCGGGCGCGGTTCACCACCACGGAGAATGCGGAGGCGGGAGCCTGCAAGCACTCCTGGGGTACCGTGACGGGCTGGGTCCTCCACCCCGACGACTCGAAGTTGGTGAAAGACCACAGGTCCGAGCCGGAGCTGGTCCTGCAGCACGTGCCCGAGGCGATCATGGTGCAAATTCCCGGGAACACGGCGCCCCGCTTTGGGAATCAGCCCGCGGGCGTCTTCCCCGTGAAGCAGAGGGAGGTGTCCTGGGATCGCAGTCCCGGCTTCAAGGCCATGGTGAAGCGCGCGGGGCCCCCGCTGGTCCCGCACTTCGCCGCCACGGCCCACTGCGTCACCGGCGCCACGCTGCCGCAGGCCATTATCGACCTCCTGGACGCGCGCACGACGCCCCGCGCAGCCATGGTCCCCACGGGCTACGTGGCCATCAGCCGCACCAGGAGGGCTGACGATCTGATCATCACGCAGCCTTTTTCGCCCATGCTTTTCCGCCAGGGGCATCAGACGGGCCCATGGCTCTTGCACTCCCTGACAGCCGGGGAGATGACGACGGAGCAGGCGGAAGCCGGCTGGGCCAAGGCAGAGAAGGAAGCCGCGTCCAGGTCGTCCAAGAAGTTGGTGGACGTCACTTTCCAGTGCGCCGACTGCCACCAGCGGAAGAGAGCGGGCAACTTCCCAGGACGTGGCATGAGAGCGAGCGACCCCGTGGAGCACGCCGTGGCAGTCCTGAGCCAGGGCGCGTGGAGGAGGTGCGCCCTCTGCGCGCAGAAGCAGGCCGGAAAGGATGTGCAGAGGCCTGCCCCTCTGCCCGGCGAGCTCCGTTGCTTTGAATGCGGCAAAGCCAGGCGCGTCTCGGAGTACGACAAGAAGATGTTGGAGCAGTTGCGCTCAGATGACGCCCTCGAGAGAGCGGTATGCCTGGCGTGTCGCCCCGCGCAACTGCACCGGCCACCGTCGAGGACAGGTGCGCTGTACACGTGCTTCCAGTGCGGGGGCCTGAAGGGCATGGAGCACTTTGACCTGGGCCAGCTGAATATGCATGGGGGGCCCGAGTGCGTTGTGTGCAAGGAGTGCGTCGACCTGCGCACGCGCCCTCCTTGCGGGAAGTGCGGGGCGAGGCCAGAGAGGAATCTGCATTACAGCCAGAGTAATTACCAGTGTGAGGCCTGCAGATTCCCGAATTGCGACGTCTGCAAGGTAGTCCCGCGGCCGCGCAGCACGAAGTATCTGGCGGCCAACAGGCCGTCGTGGACGTGCCCGGCGTGCCCGCGGGTCGGTCAGTGCGTGGCCTGTGGCGCCCCGTCACCAGACGCGGCCAAAACTGGTCGGCGTTCTGCGAACTGGGAAGGGCCGAGGTACACGTGCGACGCGTGCCTCTGGCCGCCATGCAGCGCGTGCAAGAAGGCGCCGCGGCCGCACGACCGCCGGTGGACAGTTCGCGTTGCCCCGGACTGGAAATGCGCAGATTGCGCGAAGACGCGCAAGCGAGGGAAGAGGTGCGCGTAGTCAAATAATATCATTCCACCTGCCGCTATCATCAGGGACGTCGTCGTCATCGTGTCCAGTTGCGGGCAGAGGCCCGCCTGCGTCTTTGTCGCATGTGTCATCCGCTCGGTGGCAATTTTGGAGGCAGTTTGGGCCGCCATGCCTCCCTCTTGGGGACTTCTTGGGGCCCCTTGAGGGCCTCTTTGGGGCCTCTTGGGGCCTCTTGGGGGCGGCTTGGGCCGTCTTGGGGGGCTCTTGCGCCGTTTCGCCCCTTCGGAGACCGTCTTGGGGGCCTCCCGCGGCCGCCGTGGGGCTCCCTTGGGGTTCTTTTGGGCCGTCTTAGGGGCCTCTTGGACCGTCTTGGGGGTTTCTTTGGGCCGTATTGGGGCCCTCTCGGGCCGTCTTGGGGCCCTTCTGGGGGCTTCTTGGGCAATTCTGGTGCCATTTTGGAGGCTGCTTGGGCCGTCATTGGCTTGTCAGAGTCGAGAAAGGCGAGGACGCCCAAATCTTCCCAAAACTATAGGAAAATCAATGATTTTGGCCTCTGGAGGCGGTCTTGGTGGGTCCTCTGGGGGCCCTAATGCGGCGTCTTGGAGGCTTGTTGGCTCTCTTGGGGCCATCTTGGGTCGTCCTGAGGCCGTTTTGAGACTCCCTTGGGCCGCCTTGGAGCCATCTTGAGCCGTCTTGACGCCCCTCGTGGGCTCCGAGGAGGGTCCAGCTGCCAACATCAATGATTTCCGTAGGTTATTGTTGGTTGTTGAATTAGTGGACGAAAGGGGTCGGCGACTCGGCGGCGGCCCTGGGGGGGGATTAAGGGGGGGAGACATAGTAATGTAACATGATACAATATGTAGAAATTGTGCAGTCTTGGGATACATCGGATACGTTGCATTAAGGCGTTCGCCGAAAAACGCTACCGCTCAGCACGTCACTTCCGGACGTGGATTCCTCTCGCTTCGCGGGTGTGCACGTCCGGACCACGTACAGTCCAGTTGTTGCGGGGCCTTTTGGGAGCTTCCTTGTAGCCTCTTGGAGGTGTCTTGGGTGGGGGCCTCTTTGGAGGTGTCTTAGAACCGCTCACGCAGTTAGAATGCACCGTGAACGTGCTGCCTTCAGCCATCGTAGCGAGGATTTCCGCCAAGCTGCGGGGACGTGGAGACTCGCTCGTCGAGGTTCCACGTCCCCGCAGCTTGGGGGGGCGATGAGGACGATGAGGAAGAACAGGAGGGAAAACACGGGGATAGGAATGAGGATGACGACGATGAGGAGGATGAGGAGGGCGATGAGGGAAGCGGCGGCCCCATCTTCCCTCCCAGCGCCGGCTCTACTCATGGGCGCCGCCGTGACCAACTTCCACGCGACAGGGCGCTTTTGCGTTGTATCGCCCCTTGGAGCATCGTCCTGGGGGGATCCCGCGGCCGCCTTGGGGCTCTCTTGGGGTCCTTCTGGGCCGTCGAAGGGGCCTCTAGGACCGTCTTGGGGGCCTCTTTGGGCCGTCTTGGGGGCCTCTGGGGCCGTCTTGGGGCCCTCTCGGGGGCTTCTTAGGCCTTCTGGGGGCCATTCTGCAGGCTGCTTGGGCCGTCACTGGCGTGTCAGAGTCGAAAAAGGCGAGAACGTTAAAATCTTCCCACAACCATACGAACATTTATGATTGTGGCTTCTGGAGGCGCTATTGGGGATCCTCTTGGGGCCCTCTTGGGGCGTCTTGGTAGGTTTTTGGGCCCTATCGGGGCCATGTTGGGCCGTCTTGGGGCAATTTTGGGGCTCTCCTGGGCCGCCTTGAAACCATCATTCGCCTTCTTGACGCCCCTTGTGGGCTTCGAGGAGGGTCCCGAGGCCCAAATCAATGACTTCCATGGGTTTTTTTTGGGTTTTCACAAAGTACGTGGAAACGGGTCGACGACTCGGCGGCGGCCCTGGGGGGGGATTAAGGTGGGTTGCTTTTCAACGCATGAGAATGCGATGTTTTGCAATCGGCCTTCCTTGACGTATCGTGGCTGGGCCCTGGCGTCACACACCCGCCCTGTCGGACTGCCGAGACGCTTCGCTGCAGTCCGGACGTGGACCGTCGCATGTGTCATCCTCTCGGTGGCAATTTTGGAGGCAGTTTGGGCCGCCATGCCTCCCTCTTGGGGACATCTTGAGGCCCCTTGGGGGCCTATTTGGGGCATATTGGGGCCTCTTGGGGGCGTCCTGGCCCGTCTATGGGCGCTCTTCCGCCGTTTCGCCCTATGGAGACCGTCTTGGGGGCCTCCCACGGCCGCCTTGGGGCACTCTTGGGATGTTTTTTCGCCGTCCTAGGGGCCTCTTGGACCGTCTTGGGGGTTGCTTTGAGCCGTATTGGGGCCCTCTCGGGCCGTCTTGGGGCCCTTTGGAGGGCTTCTTGGGGCTTCTTGGGGTGCTTTTCGAGGGTGATTGGGCCGTCATTGGCTTGTCAGCGTCGAGAAAGGCGAGAACGCGAAAATATTCCCCAAACCATAGGAAAATCTATGATTGTGGCTTCTGGAGGCGCTCTTGGGGGGTCCTCTTTGGACCCTCTGGCGGCGTCTTGTGAGTTTTTGGGCTCTCTTGGGGCCATCTTGGGTCGTCTTGAGGCCGTTTTGAGACTCTCTTCGGCCGCCTTGAAGCCATCTTGAGCCGTCTTGACGCCCCTTGTGGGCTCCGAGGAGGGCCCAGAGGCCGAAATCAATGATGTCCATAGGTTTTTGTAGGTTGTTGAATTAGTGGACGAAAGGGGTCGGCGACTCGGCGGCGGCCCTGGGGGGGGATTAAGGGGGGAGACATAATAATGTAACACAATACAATATGTGGCAATTATGCAATCATTGGAAACATTGGATACGTTGCATTAGGGCTTCCGCTCCGCTGCGCGACCTGCCTTGAATACGTTGCATCAAGGCGTTCGCCGAAAAACGCTGCCGCTCAGCACGTCACCTCCGGACGTGGATTCCTCTCGCTTCGCGGGGTGCACGTCCGGAGCACGTACAGACCGAGCGTTGGGTGGTCTGCCCGCAGTGCCGGTCTGCCCACCTCCGGGCGCCGCCAGCGCCACGAGGGGCGGATGCGCCCCCCTCAGTTTCAGCGCTGGGACGAGCGTGCGAATGTCCACGAGGTGAATGAGCATTCTCCGCGTGTCAGTACAAGGCTGGCCTATATGTTCGGCAATCGCCCTTTGCACGAAATCTTCTACCTCGGGGCCACTGCCCTCCTTCCTCCCTCCTCGCGCGCCTTCAGTTGGAGGTGCGGTGCGCCCAGCGGAGTTCTTGCAATGAACCGCCCGCTGCACTGCACCTGGTCCAGACCGTCAGCTGGCCGCTCAGTCCTGTCGTTCTTTGAGGCCTCTTGGGGGTTTGTTGGGGTTTCTGGAGGGCTTTTTGGGGACCTCTTTGGGCCTCTTGGGGGCGTCTTGGGCCGTCCTGGGGCGCCTTTGCGCCGTTTCGCCCCTTCGGAGGCCTTCTTGGGGACCGGGGAGGGAGAGGAGTCAGAGGAAGAAAAACGGAAGAGGAGGAGGAGGAAGAGAAGGTAGCAGGGGTATGGGTGGTGTTGAAAGTAATTGGCAATACTTGTGGTTCAAATTTTAGTTTCTGGCAGCTCTTCACGGCCGCCGCCATGGTCATGCTGAAGTTGCTAGCCGTGAACGGCCACTCGAAGTCGGACGTTATCGCCATCGACTCGTCGGCCACCGGGGCGGAGCTTCTAGCCGCCATCTGGGACAAGTTCGGCTGGACGTTTAAGGCGGCGAACTTCCAGAACGAGGCTGGCGATACCTTCTCGCCCCAAATACATGCGAATACTTCCTCCGCAGACGGCGAAATTTATTGTCTGAGCTCGCGCGTTCGGTGGGCGGGCGCGCCGCTCCCGAGTGGGCCCGCCGCGGTCTCTGCACCGCCGAACATTTTCGGGTGAAGCCGCGCTCGCCCGCGGGGCCGCTCGTTCTTTCCCAGGAGCCCACGTTTTGAAGAAAAACCAGAGCCGAGGGCCAAGGGTAGCGTCGGCGGCAGGAAGCGGCGGCGGAAGCTCTTGCTCGTGCTGTCCTTCCCTCCCGGCCCCTCTTGTCTTTTTCAGTCACCCTGCCTCTCCTCCCTTCCAGCGCCAGCTATTTCATGGGCGTCGCTGTGACTATCTGCCACCTGGCTGGCGTTGGCTTAGAAATTTCGCCCGTGCCGGAGGTTGCATTCGCGCGTAGAAAGGCGGGAAGCGGATCTCCCCGAGGGGCGCGCGCGGGGCAAGCCGCTGCCTCTGGACTTGCCGCTGGGCGACACCCTCAAGGACGGCGCCGCGGTCACGGCCCAGAGAAACAGGGGCGCCAGGCTGCGCAGTCATTGACGTCACCGCGCCGCTGCCGCCGGCTTGTCTCGGCGGCGCGCGCTTGTATTGCTACACGTGGGCGTCGGCAAGACAGGTTGGAGGTGGTCGGTGCGGCGACGTGTCTTCGATGTGCCGCGAGGCCGACGACCGCGGCCGCCGCGCCGGCGCGGCGGGCGGCGGCGACGGCAGCGGCGCCGAGGAGCGCGGCTGGGTCGCCGCGCTCGCGCACGCGCTCCTCGAGAAGCTCGGGCGGTTCGGAGAGCTCGGAGAGCTCCGACAACGAGTCCGCGAGCGCGGAACCCGACGCGCCGCCGCGCGCAGCCGCGGCGGCGCCGGAAGCGGCTCCGGCGCGGGCGGCGGCGGCGAGCTCGGCGGCGGCGCCGGGGGTCGCGGGGAGCTCGCCGCGCGGCGCGGAGGCGGACAGGTTGCGGAAGGAGCTAGCACAGGCGCGCCAGGAAGCCGCCGCCGCGGCGACGGCGCTGGGCGAGCGCGACGCAGAGCTCGCGACGGCGCGCGCGGAGCTGGCGCAGGCGCGCCAGGAGGCGCTCGACGCAGAGGCGGCCAAGGAGAGGCTGGAGACCAGGTCGGTCCATCGGGTGACGGCCGCTAAGCGCGCTCGCGGGGAGAAGTTCAGACTTCTCCGCGCGAGGGCGCCGGGTCGCACCGAGAACCGCACTTGTTCTGCAAGGTGCGCGGGCCTGACGACGGAGGGCCACCGCCTGACGCGCGAAACGTCAGAGCTCCAGGCGCAGGTGAACTACTGGGCCACGATGTACCACGGCGGCCAGCACGTCGACGGCGTGGATTACCCGGGCAAGAAGGAGTTGGCTTTGCAGGAGCAGGTGGCGCTCCACCAGAAGAACTCGGCGCCGGGGAGTGCGCGCGCAATCGCCCGCGCACCAGGGGAGAGCCCCGCGCAGCTCCTCGAACGCCCGGGCACGGTGCGTTCCGAAGTGCGCGCGCAGGGCTCTCCGAGTGCGACGGGCTGGCGTTTGCGGGCACGGTCCCCGCAGGAGCTCCACGAGAAGAACGCGAGGCTGTTGCAAGAGAACCACGAGCTGAAGCTGAAGGCGCAGGCCTGCTACAGTTGCTCGGGGCGCAAGGAGCAAGACCAGGCCCGCGGCAAAGGCCCTCGGCGCGCGGGCGGGGGCGGCGCGGGGGGCGGCCTTCGAAGGATGACGGCGGCCTCCTACGGAGAGAGCTGATGCCTTGCAGTAGGCTTCAGCAGAACGCTTACCAGGGGGCTGCGTTTTTCGAAGGCTGCCGACGCGCTCGGCCCTCCCGCGCGCCGCCAACGAGGCGGCGGCGGCAAGGGGCAGGGCAAGCCGCGCCACGGGCCAGGGAGCGCGGGCGGGGCGCCGGGCGGCGCCGCCCAGGGCGCTGGCGGGAAGGCTGGCGGCAACGCGCAGGCCGCGAGCACGGCGCCGGGAAAGGCCGCGCCGGGCCAAGCCAGCGGCAAGGGGCCAGGCAAGCGCGGCAGCGCGGCTGAGAGCGCGGGCGGCGCGCCCAGCAACGGCTTTTAGGGCAGGGGCGGGAAGGGGGAGGAGGAGGGGGAGGGGGAGGGGGAGCAGGAGGGGCAGGGAGAGGGAGACAAGGGGCGGGGAGAGGCCGGCGAGTTTCTCGGCGCGCTTCTACAAGCTGTCGGCAGCCCCAGGGTGCCTCGTTCCTTTCTGGGATTGTCTGGTGCCCCGCCGGTGCTTTGTAGGGGTCCGTCAAACGCTTTGTGGGTGGAGCGTCTCGGACGTTCTCGGGTGCTCCGTGGGAAGTACTCGCGCACCTTCCAGTGCCTTTCGGTGTTGGTCGTGCGCGTTCAGGTGCCATGCGGGTGCCTTCGGGTGCCCTGCGGTGTTTGGCAGATGCTTCGGGTGCCCTTCCGGGTCCCTTGCGGGTGCCTTTCGGCTTCCTTGCCGATGCTTTCGGGTGCCCTGCGGTGTTTTGCGGGTGCCTTCGGGTGCCTTGCGCGTGCCTTACGGGCGCTCCGGGTGCCCGTTGGGCGCCTTTCGGGTGCCTTCGGGCGCCTTGCGGGCGCTTGCTGGTGCCTTCGGGGGGTCTGTTAAACATTGCGTGGGTGGAGCGTATCGGATGTCGTCGGGCGCCCCGTGGGAACTACAAGCATCTTCCAGTGGCTTTCGGTGTTGTACGGGTGCCTTCGGGTGCCTTGCGGGTGCCTTCGGGTGCTTTGCGGTGCCCTGCGGGTGCCTGCGGGTGCCCTTTTGGGTGCTTTGCGGGTGCCTTGCGGGTGCTTTGCGGATTCCTCGCGTGTGCTATCGGGTCCTTGTCGGTGCCTTGCGAGTGCTTTCGGGTGCTCTGCGGTGCTTTGCACATGCCTTCGGGTGCCCTTGCGGGTGCCTTGTGGGTGCCCTCCGGGTGCGCTACGGGTGCTTTCGGGTGCCCTTTGGGTGCCTTGCGGGTGCCTTCGGGTGCCTTGCGGGTGCCTTGCGGGTTCTTTCGGGTGTCCTTCGGGAGCCTTTCGGGTGCCTTCGGGCGCCTTGCGGGTGCCTGCCGGTGCCTTCGGGGGGTCTGCCACACGCTGTGTGGGTGGAGCGTCTCGGATGTTGTCGGGCGCCCCGTGGGAACTACCTGGAGTACGCCTTCGGCTTGGACGCGTTCCTGGCGCACTTCCCGCACCCTGCTCCGGACCACCGCGGGACGCGGTCGCACCACTATCCGACGCAGACAACCGCGTCTTCGCCGTGGGTGCGAACGGTGCGGTGGAATGGTCCGAACGGAAGCCAGAACTCCATGCGCTTCCTGTGCTGCCCGGAAGACGTGGTGTGCGACCGTCAGCATGGAGTTGTTGATGAGCTGTGCGAGTCGTGCCGCATACCTCTGTGCTGGCAGTGCCGCGGCATTTTCGCGAAGACGCGAACGGTGCGGGAGCGAATCCCGCGTCTCGCCATCGCCAACGACAACTTTGTCGGGTTCGTGTCGGCATGGTGGGAGAAGCACAAGCCCCGGTGGATCGAGATGGCCGCGGCCACGCCAGTGTGGACGAGTTTGATGGCGTTCTACGTCGAGGGCGATAAGGGCCACCTCATGAACAATCAGGCGAGCTGCGCGAAGTAGCGCGGCACTGCCCCTTCTCTGTTCTTTGCGGACCCCGCCCCCCCTGGAAACTGCAGCGCGGCCGAGTGGCGCACGGGGGGTAGTGGCGCGCTGCTCGCACGGCGAACCCCAGAGGCCATGCATCCGCACAGTCGGTACGCTGTCCGCGGTAATCTGGCCAGCTTCCTGGTGCATTGGGACGACGTCCTGGAGCGCCTGCTCGCCATCACGGAGAGTTCCAGTGCTGCTGCGGCGCTGCCCCACGACGGCGAGACGCTGGCCCACTTGGTTCGCTTCGAGTTCCGGATGAAAGACAAGGACATGTCGAAGCAACTGAAGCACATGCGCCTCCGCGCTCATGTGGTGCTGCAGCTCGGCTGGGAGCTCATCGACCGCGGCCACCCCGCTTTTTGTAGAGATGCTGCTGGCAATCCCATCGCAATCGCCGCTGCCAAGGAGGCGTTTGAAAGGCGCGTGAAGCAGTGCTACCCGTGGCTCGGCACCCCCGAGGACACCGACGGGAAGGTCCCGCCAGCCGTGGACCGGGCGACGGTGGTGGCGGATCCGTCCAGGAGCAGTGTGCAGGATAACAAGCACGCGACTCCGGCGCTGGCCAGCACTGACGTCGCCTCTGTTTTCGACGATGCCAGACCGACCGCCTGCGCGCCCACAGATGCGACGTCCCGGCAAGGGACCGCGGGTCAGCGCCAACAGCGAGCCATGGACGGCGGGCCGGTCGTCCCGTACGTCGCCGACGCGGCCATGTTGGAGCAGTGGAACGGGAAGTACCCCGCGATCGCTTTCCCGCACACGCTGCTGCGGCAGAGCGGGGGGCCAGACTTCACGAGGTCTTGGCGCAACGGTGCCGATGCCGCACATCGGCGCCGCGCGGTGGGGCGGCCCGAGGAAGTGCAAAACCGGCCGTCCATCAGCATGGGGATGTGGCTTGCAGGCATGAGTCGCCGAGTGGAACACCAGATCCGATCGGACTGGCTCTTCATCCCAGGCATGCGCAATGTCCACTTCCGCTTTTTGGGCATCACCGCGAGGTTGGGGAGCAAAGTCAGGAAGTACAAGGACGAAGACGGATCCGCTTTCACGGAGCGCCTGACCACGGCTGTCCGCGGGTTGCACGACCTGTTGGCGAAGGGGTACTACGGGCCGAACAGGCGGCCAATTGCTGGCAACTTGACGGTGCTGCACATGGCGCATGGCCTGGACACAACCCAGAAACAGATCGTGCACAACATGCGCTCTGTGACGAGCAGCCTTGCAGGCACCCAGGAGCTGCGTCGCAGGATGGGCCACGTATTCCAGTCTGGCGCGATTGGATACGGGCACGGGCTTTTCATCACCATCTCGCCAAATGAGAAGCAGTCCTGCTTGGCGATGCGTCTACACAGAGCACGCCAGGGCGACCCGCTGCTGCGCGCGGGGTGCACAGACGACGCACGGAATGCCACGAGGAAACGATTGGCGTCACGGGAGTGGCCGTCATTGTCGGAGAGCGCCGACGCGGAGCTCCCCGATTTCGATTTGCGTCTGTGCGAAGTGGCCAATGATCCTCTCTCGGTCGTTCAGGGCTTCCGCGTCGCCGTGAACGTGATCTTGGGCCGCCTCCTGGGTCTGCGGTTGTGCGCCGAGTGCGGCGTCGCGCGAAGATATCGTAGGCAGCCCCGGTGCTGTTGCACGGACAAGTTCGGCTCCAACTCGCGCCCCATGGGCGGGATTTTCGGGGTTGCTGCAGCTTTGCTTGGCGCCGTCGAGAACCAGCACCTAGGCACGCTCCACTTCCACGGGTTCGTGTACCTCGCGAACATGTTCCAGCACGCACCCTTGACTGAGATCGCGAGGACAATTCGGGAGTCCCCTGGCTTGGCGGACGCGGTGAAGGAGTGGCACGCGTGGGTCCACAGGGAAGAGCACTGGGCCCCCGAGGAGCACCGGGAGAGCCTACCGTCGCTGGAGTCTGAGTGGCGGCAGAATCACCGCGCATCGGAGCACGTAGGTCTGTGTCGGTGGCCCGCGTATGTGGACCATGCCGAGCCGAAGACGAAGTGGGACGAGGGGTGCGATGCCGTTGCCTGCGACGCCGACGCGGCCACCTTCAAGCAGGCTTACGAGGCAGATGCGCAGATGATCTTCTCGAAGGTCCAGCATCACCACCATCCCAACGGGAAGCCGCTCACACACTGCATCAAGAAAGGCTGCAAACACGGCGACAAGTGCAAGCGCGGCTTCCCGAAGACCATGCTCATGGCGGCCCCAGATGGACCGAGATTCCGCGTTGTGTGCCCTCAGGTGGCCAGGGAAGTCGGGCTTAAAGTGAACGGGCCGAGGAATGCGTTGGGCGAGATCGCGGGGCCTCGGAACGACGATTTCCTGAGCGGGACTTGTCCAGCATTGGCGGTGGCATTTCGGAGCAACACGCACACGGCGCCGAACAACCGGCTCCCGCTGATCACAGGCATTACTCACGACCCGAACTGCCTGTGTCGACACGGCTCCAGAGAAGACACAGAAGAAGGGCACCTTCGACGCATCGCATTCGCGGTGCAGCGGTCCATGTCGAACTCCTCGCGGTACATCGGCGGGTACATTTCCAAGGTGCAGCGCGTCGGGAAGAAGGCGCGGGAACTGGCGAAGACCTGCCTGTCCACGCTGGCCGAGCGACTCCATGGGAAGTCCGAGATGCAGCAGACGCTCAACACTGTGCACCGCTGCATCGGGGACTGGGAGGCCAAGGGCGTGGCGCGGACGATCTTCGAGGAGGTGAACTTGGCGCACTTCGCGGACAGGCCGAACCCGCTCGCAGCGGAGTGCATCACGTCGTGCCCTGTCGCCGACTTCTACGCGGGCTGCTTCCTCCAGATCGTGGCCGACGAGACTCGGGCGGGGCGCGCGACGGCGCGGCGCCAGAAGAGGTCCGTGGTGTTCACGGACGCAGGCGAGGTGGCCACTCCGCCGGACGCGACGGCGCGAGCGTACGCCTACCGACCCAATCATGCCGAGTTGAAGACTTTGAGCCCGTACGAGTTCGTCCGCTTGTTCGAGGTGGTACCAACGTACCCGCCACCAAGAGATGCTTCGAAGCCATCGACGGGCCCGACGGAGTGGAAGGCGAATTCGCCGCCGGCCGCGGCTGATGGGCCTCCACGGCCTGGGGTCCATTATGTCGTGAAGCCACCCGCGGAGGGATGCAGGTACTTTGCGCTCGAAGAAGACCCAGACGACATGGAGTTCGCGCACATGTACGTGATTGTACCCCGGGGCGTCCCCGCGCTACCCGTCTTCATCGGGTCCGTCATGCCTCAGCCCGAAATGACGCCTGAGCGCCGCAGCGCCATTTTGTCTGCGTACTTCCGACCATGGACATTGGTGTGCAAGTACGGATCTTCTCGGGGGCCTGTTCCGCTAGCGAAGAATCTGAACTTGCCGCCCAAGCGCCAGCGCTGTGGGAGGAGCGCGCCGAGCTTCCGAGTAGCCCTCAAGCACTACCTTCGCGGCCACATCGTCTCGCCGTCCAACCGCATCCTGTGGGCGAACGTGCTCCGCACCATGACGACGATGCCGGAGAACGCCGACGAGGGCGAGGACGACCAGGACTCGAAGCCGGTGGAGGCGCTACCCGAGAACGCGTTTCCGGTCCTCAGCCCCAGCAGCATCATGGCAGAGTTACGGCGAGTAGACCGAGACGCCGGGGCAGATGCCGCTGGCGAGGACATTGGGAACCTCTCCCATTCGGTGCACAAAGCGCTGGAGCAGAGCATGTCCTTCTGGGACCCGCCGAACAGGGCGCCCACGTTGAACTTGCCACTGCGACAGTCTGCTCTTCGGCATTCCAGTGCAATGCCAGCGGGGGCTCGCGGGAATGCCCAGGAGCCACCGCGGAAGATTGCGCGCTCCAAGATGCGGGAGAAGCTGTACCCTGGCGACGCTGACCTGACAAGCAACATCCAGAGCTGGCGGAGAGGACCGGGGGGGGGCAATCTCGAGACGTGCAGTGGGCAAAAGCACGATCTGGATGCAGTTCGGTCGGGGGCGCCCGATTCGTCTCGCTCTGGAAGAAGATATCGAGGATGGAAACCTCGGCGTTTGAGCTGGCGTGTATCGAACAGAGTTTGTACAGAGCATGTGCAGAATGTGTACACAGCATGTATACTCCAGAACGTCATGTCGTAAGTGGTGAGTAGATCCAAGTATGGGGAAGGTTGATTACAAGCGAGGCTTCGTGTATACACTTAAAAGGATGGCGCTGCGTTTGCTTGCATTGCCTCGGTCGCGCCATGCGTGCTCTGTGGAAGGTGCGCGTGCGCGTCTACATGTGCACGCGCGTATAGTGTGTGTATGTATAAACATGGACTTCCCAGATGTATACACGTCTGGGCATGCCAGGCAGGTGGCGCGGCACGTGTGATGTGTAGCAGACAGGGTTGTGCAGCAGTCGTCGGTAAGGTGGGTAGTGTGAAGGGAGGCAAGGCCATGCGCATCCCTGCCCGATCGCAGGACTGCAGACGCACCAGATCACCCCCGACCCGCAGCAGATGAGCATCCTGGACGCCGTCGCCGACAGGTGCGTCCAGGAGGCCCGCGAGCAGGACCAGCTGCGCGGATCGCCATGCTCCCGGCTGTTCGTTCTCGGCCTGCCGGGTTCAGGGAAATCGGAGGTCATCCGGTGGCTGTGCGAGGAGGGCGTGGGGCTGTTCCCCACGTGCATGGGATGGGAACACGAGGTGCACTTCATCAAGACCGCCCCCATGAATTCCATGGCGAGCAACATCGGTGGGCGAACCATCCACAACTTCAGCAAGCTCGGAATCGACCTCATCACGGGAGTCCAGTCCGGCGGGAAGAAGGACCCGGAGTTGTCGGAGAACATGCTGCACACGAAAATCCAGCACATGCGCTGGCTCATCATCGACGAGGTGGAGAACGTTTCGGTGGAGTTGCTGGACGCCGTGCACAGGCAGGTGAAGGACTCGACGAGGGACAAGGGAAACCCCTGGGCCGTGGACGCACGCGTTCCAAAACAGTTCGCCATGTTCGGAGGGCTCAACCTGGTGCTGCTCGGGGACTTATGGCAGATACCGCCCGTCAGGAGTCTCAGTATTGCCGCCAACCCATTTGTCAAGAGACCCGCCAACGTCGGCCGCATACTGGAGATGTTCTGGACAGAGGGCTTGCCGCACTCGGTGACTAACCGCTACGCCCTGGCCCAGTCGCACCGCTGCTCAGACGTGTGGTGGAGAAGCTTTCTCGCCGAAGCGCGCGCTGGGAATCTGTCGGACAGGATGTACGATTTCGTCCACGGCTTCCCCACTGATGTGCCCGGCTCCTGGATGCCCGCAAGCCCCGGCAGCGCCGAGGCCTCGACGGGGCACTTCGGCTGCGGGAAGGCGAAGTGCCGCGCGCTCTGGTCAGTTGAGTGGCCACGGATGTTCGGAGAAGGTCGGGCCTGGGAGGACATGAAATCCCTGGAGTGCGCTGAGTGCAGCGCGGAACGCCATCGGCGCTGCCGCGTCGCCTCTCAGAGCGATGCCAGACAGCGGGAGGTGAGCACGGCGTTCGCGGACGCGCTGTTCGTGCACCCGTACAACGCCCCGAAGAGCAGGATTCTGACGCTGCGAGCGGCGAATGCGGCAGCCAATGCTGGGAAGCAGCTCCTCTGGGTGGTGGCGCGCGATGTCCCCCTCACTCGGGACGACGCATGCAGGTCGACGGAGTCGCTCTCCCACGCCAGGCAGAACTGGCTCATGTACCCCGAGAACAAGACTGGCGGAGTTCCGGGTGTGCTGCCGATCTTCGAGGGGATGCGGGCGCGGTTCACCACCACGGAGAATGCGGAGGCGGGAGCCTGCAAGCACTCCTGGGGTACCGTGACGGGCTGGGTCCTCCACCCCGACGACTCGAAGTTGGTGAAAGACCACAGGTCCGAGCCGGAGCTGGTCCTGCAGCACGTGCCCGAGGCGATCATGGTGCAAATTCCCGGGAACACGGCGCCCCGCTTTGGGAATCAGCCCGCGGGCGTCTTCCCCGTGAAGCAGAGGGAGGTGTCCTGGGATCGCAGTCCCGGCTTCAAGGCCATGGTGAAGCGCGCGGGGTCCCCGCTGGTCCCGCACTTCGCCGCCACGGCCCACTGCGTCACCGGCGCCACGCTGCCGCAGGCCATTATCGACCTCCTGGACGCGCGCACGACGCCCCGCGCAGCCATGGCCCCCACGGGCTACGTGGCCATCAGCCGCGCCAGGAGGGCTGACGATCTGATCATCACGCAGCCTTTTTCGCCCATGCTTTTCCGCCAGGGGCATCAGACGGGCCCATGGCTCTTGCACTCCCTGACAGCCGGGGAGATGACGACGGAGCAGGCGGAAGCCGGCTGGGCCAAGGCAGAGAAGGAAGCCGCGTCCAGGTCGTCCAAGAAGTTGGTGGACGTCACTTTCCAGTGCGCCGACTGCCACCAGCGGAAGAGAGCGGGCAACTTCCCAGGACGTGGCATGAGAGCGAGCGACCCCGTGGAGCACGCCGTGGCAGTCCTGAGCCAGGGCGCGTGGAGGAGGTGCGCCCTCTGCGCGCAGAAGCAGGCCGGAAAGGATGTGCAGAGGCCTGCCCCTCTGCCCGGCGAGCTCCGTTGCTTTGAATGCGGCAAAGCCAGGCGCGTCTCGGAGTACGACAAGAAGATGTTGGAGCAGTTGCGCTCAGATGACGCCCTCGAGAGAGCGGTATGCCTGGCGTGTCGCCCCGCGCAACTGCACCGGCCACCGTCGAGGACAGGTGCGCTGTACACGTGCTTCCAGTGCGGGGGCCTGAAGGGCATGGAGCACTTTGACCTGGGCCGGCTGAATATGCATGGGGGGCCCGAGTGCGTTGTGTGCAAGGAGTGCTTCGACCTGCGCATGCGCCCTCCTTGCGGGAAGTGCGGGGCGAGGCCAGAGAGGAATCTGCATTGCAGCCAGAGTAATTACCAGTGTGAGGCCTGCAGATTCCCGAATTGCGACGTCTGCAAGGTAGTCCCGCGGCCGCGCAGCACGAAGTATCTGGCGGCCAACAGGCCGTCGTGGACGTGCCCGGCGTGCCCGCGGGTCGGTCAGTGCGTGGCCTGTGGCGCCCCGTCACCAGACGCGGCCAAAACTGGTCGGCGTTCTGCGAACTGGGAAGGGCCGAGGTACACGTGCGACGCGTGCCTCTGGCCGCCATGCAGCGCGTGCAAGAAGGCGCCGCGGCCGCACGACCGCCGGTGGACAGTTCGCGTTGCCCCGGACTGGAAATGCGCAGATTGCGCGAAGACGCGCAAGCGAGGGAAGAGGTGCGCGTAGTCAAATAATATCATTCCACCTGCCGCTATCATCAGGGACGTCGTCGTCATCGTGTCCAGTTGCGGGCAGAGGCCCGCCTGCGTCTTCGTCGCATGTGTCATCCGCTCGGTGGCAATTTTGGAGGCAGTTTGGGCCGCCATGCCTCCCTCTTGGGGACTTCTTGGGGCCCCTTGAGGGCCTCTTTGGGGCCTCTTGGGGCCTCTTGGGGGCGGCTTGGGCCGTCTTGGGGGGCTCTTGCGCCGTTTCGCCCCTTCGGAGACCGTCTTGGGGGCCTCCCGCGGCCGCCGTGGGGCTCCCTTGGGGTTCTTTTGGGCCGTCTTAGGGGCATCTTGGACCGTCTTGGGGGTTTCTTTGGGCCGTATTGGGGCCCTCTCGGGCCGTCTTGGGGCCCTTCTGGGGGCTTCTTGGGCAATTCTGGTGCCATTTTGGAGGCTGCTTGGGCCGTCATTGGCTTGTCAGAGTCGAGAAAGGCGAGGACGCCCAAATCTTCCCAAAACTATAGGAAAATCAATGATTTTGGCCTCTGGAGGCGGTCTTGGTGGGTCCTCTGGGGGCCCTAATGCGGCGTCTTGGAGGTTTGTTGGCTCTCTTGGGGCCATCTTGGGTCGTCCTGAGGCCGTTTTGACACTCCCTTGGGCCGCCTTGGAGCCATCTTGAGCCGTCTTGACGCCCCTCGTGGGCTCCGAGGAGGGTCCAGCTGCCAACATCAATGATTTCCGTAGGTTATTGTTGGTTGTTGAATTAGTGGACGAAAGGGGTCGGCGACTCGGCGGCGGCCCTGGGGGGGGATTAAGGGGGGGAGACATAGTAATGTAACATGATACAATATGTAGAAATTGTGCAGTCTTGGGATACATCGGATACGTTGCATTAAGGCGTTCGCCGAAAAACGCTACCGCTCAGCACGTCACTTCCGGACGTGGATTCCTGGGCTTACGCCACACCGCCGACCCCTTGGGGAACGGGCAGTCGTGGCGTGTTGCTTCTGAGACCCTCTTGGGCACCTTTCGAAGGCTTCTTGATACCCTTTGGGACGCTGCATGGGGGTCTATGGGGGGCCTCCAGGAGCTTCTTGGAGGCCGTGTGTGGGGCTGTGTGGGGGCCCTCTTTGTTTGTTTAGGTGCCTTCTTGGCAGCCTCTGGGGCCATCTGGGAGGATCTTGGGAGCCTTTTGAGCCGCCGTGTAGCATCGGGAAACCAAAATTGCAAGGACTCTACAATCTTCTCCCCCTCTCAAAAAAAAATGCACATCAAAACATGTTGCCTCGTGGGGGCCTTCTGGGGAGGGCTCTTGGAGGTCTCTGGGGGTTTTTGGGGGGCGTATTGGGTCGTCTGGAGGGCACTTGGCCGTCCTGGAGGAGCTTTCGGCGACTGGGGGCCCTCTTGGACTGTCCAGGGGGCCTCGTGGGGCCCTCTGGGCTCGTTGTGGGGGGTTCCATCCTCCCATGATGCGTTGGGGCCTGGCCAGTTGGATCGGGGCGGACCCCTTCCCCTCCTGGGGGGAGGGGTCGGGGGAGGGGGAAGCATCTCACACGCTGAGGACACTCCACGGGGTCAGAGGATTTGGGCGCCACGTTCACACTGCAGCGTTTTTTGTCTGCGGGGAATGGTGGGCCTGCACACACGGGGTAATATGATGCCCCCTGCCGTCGTGTCACAGACCAATGCACAGTGAGGGCGGGACGCCCGATGATGATCCAGGTCATGTCGCAAAGTGTACTTTGTTTTGTAATTATCGTGAAGGCCGGGGGGGTGGTTTGGGGGGTTCTCTGTCTCGGGTCGGCCGTCGGTCCAGTGGGCGGGTGTCTACGAATACGGAGCAGGGGCAAATCATTATCCGAAGGGGCAAAAAGGGATTTGAAAGACAGGCTCCCCTAACCCACCGACGCCCAGATGTCTGGTGGGATGTTGCTTGCGGGAGTAGATGTCGGTTTCGTGCAGGCCGCGAGAAGGCCTTCGTCGCAGGAGCTCAACTCGTTCTAAAACTTTGTCGGGATGATGCTCAGGAGAAGCCTGTCGGGGAGGTGGTCGAAGGAGACATGAGGTGGGGCGGATCCGAGGGGACGAGAGTGGAGCGCCCGTGGACTGGCCTTCAGGCGATGCCGCTTACATTCGGGGCGGCACCTCTCTTTGAAGTGCGCGGAGGCGAGCAAGAAATAGTGCTTCCGACGCACCACTGGTTGATTCTTGCCGTCTTGGGCGGGTCTGGGTGCCGTCCTGATGCTATCTTACATCGTCGTTGGGCCATCTCGGCGCTGCCCTGGACCGTGGTGGCGATCTGTGAGGGCCGCCCCTGGCCGCCGGAGAGGCCTCTGGGAGGCCTGGAGCTTCAGCCTCTCTGGGCTCCCTCCGGCCCTCCCCCCTCGAACGGAGTTCAAATACAGTCAAAGACCCTAATAAGGACGCGCGACTTTGCTCAGGGTACCCTTGCGTTCTTGCTCTTCCTTGCTCTTGCGTCCTTGAGGTTTTCGCCGCCCGCCGCCCCAGAAATCCCAACTTCGGCTTCCAAGGGTCGTGCGTCCTCACCGCGCGTCCTTATTAGGTTTTTTGATTGTAGCAGTTTGGACCCGAGGCTCGGGACCTTCGGTCTGCGATCTCCAGGGAGCGGGCGAGGACCCACGAATACCAACGGCGGACAGATGTCGAACTGCCAGAAGGCTGGGCATCGAATGGCCCTCGGCACATTCCGCCACCGTGCTTGGGCTGCGGGTTTAGGGCCATGCGGATGGCAGACGGGGGGTCTCGTGGGAGGCGCCTCGGGGGCGTTTGTGAAACAGTTTCTGAACCGCTAGAGGGCCTCCTGGAGGCCCCTCGGGAGTTTTGCTTCTGGTCTCTCGGAGCTCCTTGGGAGCGTGTTGCGGGTTTCTTGGGGCAGCCGGGGGGGCGGTTTGGGGTCGAAGGCTCGACATGTTCGTTCGGGCTCCCCCTCTGGGCCCCCTCTTGGGATTGTCCTGGAGCCCCCCTGGGCCGTTTTGGGGGTCTCCTCGACGGCCTTGAGGCCCTCTTGGGCCGTCTTGGAGCCCTCTTAGTGGCCGTCTTGGGGCGATCAAGGAGGCTTCTTGACCATGCACGTTTTCCGATGGGGATGGGGCGATTGTCGCTGTTTGAGGCCGTCTTGGGACGCCTCTGGAGGGCTTCTCGGGGTGTTTTAGGGGGCCGCTTGGGCCGTCTGGAGGCCAGCGTGGGCGTTTTGCGATAGATCTTTCGGCAGCCCGTGGCCCTCCTGGACCATCCATAGAGCCTTTTGGTGCCCTCTTGGGGTGTTGTTTGATGCTTTTTTAGCGGTCTTGAGACCCTCTTGGGTCGTCTGAAAGCCCTCTTGGGGCCTCTCGGGCCGTCTTGGGGCGACCCAAGAGGCTTCTTGGGCTGTCGTGGACTGTGATCGCAGAAGAGGCACATGTGCTAAACATGCAGGTTTTCCTGAGAACATCTGGCGATATTTACCTCTTTAAGGCCGTTTTGGGACGCCTCTTGGTGGGCTTCTTGGGGCGTCTTTGGGGCCTCTTGGGCCGTCTGGAGGGGAGCGTGGGCGTTTTGCGATCGATCTCGTGGCCCTCTTTGACCGTCCAGAGGGCCTTTTGATGCCCTCTTTGTTTGTTGCTCGTGGCTTTTTTAGCGGTCTTGGGGCCCTCTTGGGTCGTCTGAAAGCACTTTTGGGGGCCTCTCGGGCCGTCTTGGGGTGACACAGGAGGCTTCTTGGGCTGCTTTGGACGCTGCGATCGCAGAGCATGCGACTGTGCGTCACGCGCAGGTCTTACCAGGGAGGTCGGGCGATTTCTGCTCTGTGAGGCCGTTTGGGAACGCCTCTGGAGCGCTTCTTCGGGCGTTTTGGGTGTCCCTTGGGCCGTCTGGAGGCCAGCGTGGGCGTTTTTGGTCGATCATTCGGCGGCTCGTGGCCCTCTTGGACCGCGGAGCAAGAGGGCCACGAGCAAGAGCAACAATTATCCCAGTGCGACCCTACCTAGGAGTTGGAGCCTCGAGGAAAGCCAGATTTTGCTATGCTATGCTATGCCGCGCTATGCTATGCTATGATATGGTATGTGTTGCTATGCTGCGCTATGCTTTGCTATGCTAGGCTATGTTATGATATGATATGCTGCGCTATGCTATGATACGCAATGCGATCCTATAATATGATTTGCTATGATATGATGCTCTATGCTATGCTAATATATGCTATGCTAAGCTATGCTAAGCTATGCTATGCAATACTGTGATATGGTATGTTATGCTGTGCTATGTTATGCCATGCTATGCTACGCTAAGCTAAGCTACAGTAGGCTAAGCTAAGCTAAACTAAGCTGAGCTAAGGTAAGCCAAGCTAAGCTAAGCTAAGCTAAGCCGAGCTAAGCTAAGCCAAGCTAAGCTAAGACGAGATAAGCTAAGCCAAGCTAAGGGGGCGCTATGCTAAGCTATGCTAAGCTATGCTATGCAATACTGTGCTATGTTATGGTATGATGTTCTATGCTATGCCATGCTATGCTATGCTACGCTAAGCTAAGCTGCATAAGGCTAAGCTAAGCTAGGCTAAGCTAAGCTAAGGTAAGCCAAGCTAAGCTAAGCTAAGCCAAGCTAAGCTAAGCCAAGCTAAGCTAAGACGAGATAAGCTAAGCCAAGCTAAGGAAGCGCGACTGGGGGAACCGCGGGGCGGGGACTGGGGGAACCGCCCAGGGCGCGTTCCACTGCCCGGCCCCTTTAAGCTAAGAGAGTAAGAACCCTCTAGGCAGAGCCTAGGTAGGGGAAAAGAAAATAGACCGTCTGGAGCATGTCTTGGCGCCCGCGTGGCCTGTTTGGGGGCCCTCTGCCCCCCCCCCGTGGTGCGTTCGGCCGGCCCCGGGGGACCCCCCCCCCTCCTCCAAATCGACTGGACGGGGCTCCAGCCCTGACCTTCCAGGGAGCTATTTTTTAGCACGGGAGGCCTAAAAACTTAAAAAACTGAGCGGAACAGCCTAAAACCAAGACGTAGAATAGCTCTGGGATAGGGTTTGAAGTCGGGTGCTATTTTTTAGCCCTCCTGGAAGGTCAGGGAGGGGGAGGGGCTTGGGGAGGGGACAGCATCTCACACGCCGATGAACCCCAAGGGGTCGGCGGATGTCCTCGGGGCCAATCCAGCGCAGACCCCCTGGCCGATTCCAGGCCCTCCTGAGGCAGGTGCGATCGGAATGGGAACGGAAACCTTGAGATCTGGGCGTTGCATATATGTTTTCTCGCGCCGAGCGTTGTTGCCCGGTGTCGGCGGGCACCGCGGCCCTCGCAGATCGATGTGGCTCGAAAAATGCAGCAGGCAGATGGAGTCCGGCGGCTGTGGTCGTGGAGTTTTCGGGGTCGTGTTCACGCGGCGGCGCCCGGGATGACGATTAGGAAAAACCGGCCGCGGGCTGGAAAACCATTTTCAAAAATCGTTCTCCTCCAATCAGAAACTTGTGCAGAAATAGCAGGAAACTATTTTTTAATCGTTCCCCCCATTTTTTATCAATCGTCATCCCGCACAGCAGGGCGTCGGATGTGGCGGAAGCCCGGTTCGCCCGTGGTCGGTGCGAGGCCACGCTCGCGGCACGCCGCGCGCACCTTTGGCAGCCGTCGGCCTTTCGGGGCGCCTGCGCCGGGCCCCGAGACCTGCCAGGGCAGCGACTCACGAGGAGGCGCCGGCCCCAGGAGAAGGGGCGGGACTTCGGGGGACCGCGCATCGAGCATAATGGAGGATGGCGATTAATACATGACCGGGGGTCGTGTTCACGCGGCGGCGCCCGGGATGACGATTCGAAAAAACCGGCCGCGGGCTGGACAACCATCTTTAGAAATCGTTCTCCTCCAGTCAGAAACTTGTGCAGAAATAGCAGCAAACTATTTTTTAATCGTTCCCCCCATTTTTTATTAATCGTCATCCCGCACAGCAGGGCGTCGGATGTGGCGGAAGCCGGGTAAGCCGTGGCGGCGCGAAGATCATCGTGCACCGCGCATTGGCGGGCTGGGCCGTG